TTCATGAACTGTTTAATTTGTGAAGTACATCATTAACTGTATACTTCGTAAGTCACTAACAATAACAATACTAACTATTACCACAAAAGTAATACTCATCATCATCATCATCATCATCATCATCATCATCCTCAGCATCAGCATCTTCAACATCAACAACAACATCATCACCAGCATCATCATCATCACCATCATCATCATCATCATCATCACCATCATCACCAACATCACCATCATCACCACCACCCTCATCATCATCATCATCATCATCACACTGCGAACAATATGCTTTTTTGCCCTGGTGTGACATAACTATGTGGTAATATGATACCACCACCCCATTCTACTCTTACCGCTCCTGGCCTCTTATTAAAACCCTCAGCGCCTTGACCTGAAACCCTAAACCCTCACCGGTTTTAGGGTTCAGGACTCGTGGTTCAGAGTTTAAAGGTTTTGGGCTTTATGGCCTAGCATTCTGTTGCAAAAGTCAAAGTTTGAGGCTTGGACGCACCGAGAATCGATTCAGTGGTGCAAGAATCAATGCTCATGCTGGTGAGAATTCGAAACACCCTAAACGGGTAAAGCCCTAAAGAGTTGGCTGAGATGGTGAGTTCCAAATCCAAACATCTCGCAGAGTAGCACAATCTGAGCCCACGGGCCTTAAACCTTGAGCACCGGAACTGTCAACCCGGAAAACTCCATTCACCCTTCACCCTTCCCTCCTGCTAATAGCTGAAACGAGTATGAGGATAGATAATGGAGTGCGCGCGGACAGAATGACTTATTACGAACAAACCCTAAACCCTTTTGCAGACGGCTTCTCTCGCCCGGAACTGCCGTCGCCGTGAACCTCAACCCAAACCCCTAAACCCTAGACCAGACACATGCTCCAGACTAAAAGCTCCAAATCCCAAAACAAAACCATTCAACTACTACCAGTCTAAACCCTCCAGAATCCGAATGAAGCTATTCTAAATCTCACATTGCCATGTAAACGATCTATAGAAACCCCTTCAACGCGCTAAATAAGCCTTAAACCCTAAAGCCCTAAACCCCAAACCCTAAAGCCTAGAACCCTAACCCCTAAACCCTAAAACCCAAACCCTAAAACCCTAAACCCTAAAACCCTGACACTCCAATCCTAAACACTAAACCCTAAATCCCTTAACTCCAAAACCCAAGTCCTCCAGCTGCTGTTGCAACATAGACCCCAGCAGCGAGCGAAAGGCATCCTGTCGGGCGTGTCAGCTGAGGTTTTGGGTTTGGGCTTTAGGGGCTTAGGGTTTGGGGTTTGGGGTTTAGGGTTTAGGGTATAGGGTTTAGGCTTTAGGGGCTTTGGGTTTGGGGTTTGGGGTTTGGGGTTTGGGGTTTAGGGTTTAGGGCTTAGGGTTTCGGTTTGGGTTAAGGGTGCCAGGATGAAAGATTTTCGGACAGCCTTCGAGGCTTCCGCATGCCCGATGTATCCCCACAGTGACGTAGTAGGTACATGGGCCGTGTTGTACTATAAATGCTACCAGTCCTTATAAAACAGGTTACGAACACTCACATGTCATGCGAATGTGAATACTAATCCTACTACTACGATTACTCACAATACTGCTAACACTAGAAGGCACAATGAACGATTACAAAAAACCTTCGTCGTAGTCATAGCCATAGCAATACAATAGCACTAGCAAAAGTAATCGCGATAGATAGAACTACTTCCGGAAAGAGAAAAGAGTTGGAGCCGGAGCAGGAATAAGAGCCAGAGTACAAGAGCAATGGTGGTGATGGTGATGGTGATGGTGATGGTGATGGTGGTGGTGGTGGTGGTGGTGGTGGTGGTGGTGGTGGTAATAGTAGGAGTGGCAGCAGTAGTAGTAATAGCAGCAGTAGTCGTCGTCGTAATAGTAGTAAGAGGAGAAGATCCTGCGGCTCCTGGTAAAGCTTCCAGCATCACGACCAGCAACACTGCTACAGCCGCATGCCACGGTAAGTAGAACTGCCAGCATCACAAGTGAACGCAAACACCAGAACCCCCCCCGGTCCTCGTCAAAAGATTCCCCGCTTGCCGGGCTGAAGGGATCGATGGAATTCATCGAGTGTGCGATGCGAACCATCAAGGCTTGTCCGGCTTTGCTCCAAGTTGCTGAAACCTATGATCAACAAGGGTGCGGATAGACCCCTTTCATCAACAAAGCTTGAATGTCAGGGTTTCATCTTCAGATTCATGCTTCCTCTGAACGCGATGAGGCGGAGTGTCCTATAGCAATTGCGTCAACACCAGTTGCAAGAAAGCCGTTCCAGCGTTGACTACTAAACTCTAATGAACCACGAGCAGAAAAAAGGCAGTTTCGGGTTCAGGGTTGTTACAATGGGGGGGGTACCCGGGAATAGTCCCGAGGTGAGCTGCCTGCAGCCACAACGACGCAACCACCAAGTTCTGCACCAAAAACTCCACTGGCAAGATCTTGAGCCAGTAGCTGCATCAGGCACTTCTCAAGCCCACGCCCCCTGCAGACCTGAATCCCAACAACTCCGATCTGATCTCCGGGATACAACTTCAAGGTGTAAGCCCCAGGTATCTAAGGCTGAACCCGAAACCTGCGGCGGAGAGCTCATGCGGCGGCTGAAGGTAGTCGAGGCATAGGGCTATGAGTTGTCGGCTTCTGTGCCCTGTCTGCGGGATGTAGCAACGATCGACAGCCTTCATCCTGACCCAGAAGTCATCGAACCCTGTCTCAAGAATATTTTATTAGGGTTGAGGGTTTAGGGTTTAAGACTACTTCAACTGCATCTCCTCTAAACCCAAAGCCCTAGGCCCTAAGCCCTGAAGCCCTGGTTTGAGGTTTCGTGGGGGGGGTGGGGGTGGACATACCTACCACGGAGTCCTAGGCTGCCTTCCTAGAAGCGCGTAGGGTTTAGGGTTTAGGGTTTCCTTAAATCCTAAACCCCCTTTCTGCGCTTCCCGCTAAAGCCCATGTCACCACAGGCTGTCAACACTGCCTAAGGCCTTTACTGTAGTCCCAAGTCCTGTTTACCTGTTGTTTCATCAGGTTCAAGCCGTTCTATCCATCAAAAATGCTTGATCAGGAAAGGGAGCTACATTTGGAGCACAAGGATAAACCGTATGTATTGTATAACATACCCCTACATCCCTATTCACATTACTACGGCCCCTATACTGAACCTCCCTTTGAAAGGAGCCCTAGTCCATTTACGAAGGCCCCTAGTACCACCCCGAGAACGAAAACCTACACCTTAACACTAAACCCCAAACCTAAACCCTAAACCCTAAACCCTAAACCCTAAACCTTAAACCCTAAACCCCAAACCCTAAACCCAAACCCCTAAAAAACTCTAAACCCCGCTCCCCGAGAAGGTTGCAGCTGGAGCTCACTGGAAGGGTCACCTGCAACTGAGCCAAAGCCTGGCTGCCGTCTCTTTTGCGTAGGGATTGGGTTTCAGGGTTTAGGGTTTAGGGTTTAGGGGTTTAGGGGTTTAGGGTTAAAGATTAAGGGTTTAGGGTTTAGGGTTTAAAGGGTAAAGGGTTTAGGGTTAAGGGTTTAGGGTTTAGGGTTTTTAGGTTCCCAGAGACTCCAATATCCCTTTTTTCAATCACATACTTTAAATTATATTAAGGATCCTACCAAAAGTTCAGGAGTATTCCTCAATTAAGGAGTATTGGAGTCTCTGGGTTTGGGGTTTAGGGGTTTCTGCCCGGAGTTTCGTAGAGGGTTTCGCCGGCTGTAGGACTGGTGGATTTGGGGTTAAGGTTGTGGGGCTTCTGCTGGGCCGGTGCTCTTGGACTGTCGGGAAATGCTGGTCATGGGGTGGGTGCTGATTTAAGGTCTGCGGTGGGTGGCATCGAGTAGTTACTTCGCATGGCTTCCTAGTATTATGCCTTGTGGTCCATGTGCCTAAACAGTATATACCATGCCCCTGCAGCACCATATATACAAATAATTACCCATATTGTTCCTTAAGGTTCCTTATTGTAATTATATATACCTTAAGGGAGCCCGAAACCCTATTCTAATTATTAAGGCCCCTACGTTATCCCCTAAAACCTAAACCCCATCTTTTCATCGCGTCAGAGGCCACGGTGCAACATCACCGGAAGCATAACCCGAATCCTGAAACTCACAAACCGCCAAACCGGCTTAGGGTTTAGAGGTCTAGGGTTTAGGGTTCAGGGGTTTGGGGGCTTACCCATAGGCCCCATAGTAGTTCCTTTTTGGGGATCGCATATATTTTGAACCCTATAAAGTAATCCCAAAAAGGAACTACTATGGTGCCCATAGTTGGTGTTAAGGGTTCAGGGGCTTAGGGTTGAGAGTTTAGGGTTCGTGGGCCGTACAACCCGCGTCCTGGCCTGAGGCGTTTAGACAAACAACCCTTGCAGCTGCGAGGTGTGCAACGTTGTACCGGACCTACCGATTCGAAGTCCCCAGAGACTCCAATACAAATTAATTAAGGAATATTCCTTAAACTATAGTAGGATCCTTAATATGATTTAAGGAATATTCCTTAAGACAACAATCGCTTTCATCTAATTCAGCATAGATCGCTGAGGACGCACTTTTTCCAACTGCTTTCACTTCGGTGGCGCTTTCTGCGGTTTGACTCTTTCGGAGTCTGATCGTTCTCATCGAAGTAGACCTTCATTTCTTACAGAAATGGTCGTACGATGTATCGGAGGACCGACCGTTT